CCATCTGCTGGCTCATTCCCCAGATGGCTACATTGGTTGGAGCTATGCTGATCCAAAGCCAGGAGCCAGGAGCTTCTTTCAGATCTCCTACATGGATGTTGGGGCCCAAGTGCTTGGGCCATCTTCTACTGCTTTCCCAGGCTGTTAGCAGAGAGCTGGGTCGGCAGTGGGGCAGCCAAGACTCAAACCAGCACCCATATGGGATGCTGGCACTGCAAGCTGCAGCTTTACCCACTATGCCATGGTGTCAGCCCCAAGGATTGTGTATTTTAAATTCATAGAGTTTTCTCCTTCTCAGTGGTTATACAAAATAACACGCAGTAATAGTGTTTCTTACAATTGACAGTTTCCTCAGTTCAGTGAAATGTGACATATAATTAAAAACACTTAAATGGAAGTTGTAATGTGTAGAATGGCATTGCTTATAAATAATGGAAAATCGAACTACTTAAACACTAAGAAATCTACTGACAAAACCATCAGAGGATTCTAGCGTTTTCCATTTAAATATTTGACAATAGGTCAGTTGCATCACAACTCTCCATCTTTCTGTCCTTATGGCTGAGGGAGTTTTATGTTACTTACTTAGGGCATTCAACACCTTTACACAGAGCTGATAAGTCAGTCTGTCCTACCAGGGATCAGGAGGAGAGAGAGAAATTCTCACTTTGAAGGATCGCACAAACTGAGAATCAGAGTTCTGTTGTATATTTTGAACCATTGTTAGGGTCGAGATAGACAGTTTGAGTGGTCTTTCCTTCCTTGCTCTCAAATTACTCAGAAAGGATGGACTCAGACTTTGAGAGGATGGGAAACAGAGTCTATAGCCTTAAGGATTTCAAGCTTTTTTTTTTTTTTTTTTTTAACGTGCTTGAAACCAACATGCTGGGCTAAAGAAGTATTTTCCAGTTGATGGCCTAATCTATAATTTCACAAAAGAAAAGTCTGTCCAATCCAGGTCAAATCATTACTTTTTTTCTCCCTAGAGAGCAAGTGTATGCTGGTTTGGAAAAAAAGATAACAAAAAGTCAAGTGCTATGAAGCACATTTCTGATGGCCACATGCTCAGATCTGATTAACACAGATGCTTCTTGCTCCCAGAGTTTGCTGGAAAGAGAGTCTGGAACCTAAGTTCACTGCTGATGCCATTCCACACATTTTTTAGGTGACTGCTGAGTTAATGTGCACTTCAAACAAACCAAGATAATTGGACAGAATTTTGGTGCAGTCTGTTCATTCTTCTATGGGAGAAGATTTCTCAGGAAAGTAGTTAATGTGGAATACAACTTTGAAATAAACAAATCCCATGCCCCTTCTTCTGGTGACTCCACCAGAGATTTAGTATGGCCAAGAACACAGACTAGGTGCAAAAAATTCCCTTTGTTGACTTTATTTGCTCACTCTTCCTCTCTCTTTCTCTGTCTCCTTCTCTCTTAAGTAATAAAAAGTGATTAATGGAGGAGACTTCGTTTGGATGAATTATATGGAAAGCTATTTTATGAAAAATGAATGTTTTCATGATATTGTATTTCCATCTCTGCTTTATCATTGCCTTTTTGTTTAAGTTAATGCAATAATATTACCAAAGTCATCTTCCATTACATTACCATTTGCTTTCACAGTCTAGGCAACGATGTCATTTTCAGATGAAGCTATTTGTCCTTGTTAAAACAGACAGGGCAATTGGTGCATTCAGACTCAATTACTGAGTAGCATGATTGATTCTAAGATAGAACTGGGAGCAGTTAGCATTAACTGTTCAGGATGCTCTTTCTTCCACTAGATCTGATGGGAGAACAAGTCATAATGACTGAACCTAAGGGAAGCAGAAGGAAGTTAGATCAGTTCCCCAGAATTCCGAGACAGAATTTTGAGTGTCGCATATCTACAGAACGCCCTTGGAATCAACACATAAGGAAGGAGGAAGCAGGTATTGGCCCAGTGCCAGCTCCTGCTGGCTTCACATGGAGCTCTGGAAAGTGGAATAGCCCTTCAGTGTTTCACTCATTGAACTAAGATGACCAGCGCTTGTATTGCTTCATCAGGTACTTGTGTGGGTTTCCTAGGATGGGACATGACCTTAGGTAAGGCCGCTGAGTGATTGCAGCTTAGGCCATTGCTGAGAAGGTCGATAGTTGAAGACCGACTGCTCACGGCCCTACACCCTAGACTTGAGCAGTGGTCCTCAACCAGGGGTGATTTTTCCCCCTGTGGGGTATTTGACAATGTCTGTAAATATTTTTGCTTGTCACTACCAGAGGGATGCATTTGACATCTAGGAGGCAGTATCCAGGCTTGCTGCTAAACATGCCGCAAGGCGCAGGAGAGCTCCCAAGGAGAAAGAACTATCTGATCCAAAATATCAAAAGTTCTGCAGTTGGGAAACCTTGCCCTGGGACAGCGAAGCCCTCCTTGAAACATGATCTGATGGGGATCACTGGGTTCACTCCAGAAATCTATATTAACCAAGCACAATGGTCTGTGTTCCCTATTGTTCTGACTTCTCCTACAGACCTTTGAGATCTCATAGCTTTCGTTTACTAATGAGGAAACTGATTCTCAGGGCAGCTTAGTAAATTACCCAACCCCATGAAGGACACAGAGGTGAGATTCATTGTGGAGCTGTTTATTGAAGACATTGTGGTATCTTCTGGTTTTCCCCTGAAGAAGTTTAGAACATATCACCCCAAAATACACCTTACTGGAATATTGATTATTTTGAGTTAAAGACACTGTAAAAAAAGCACAGTTGCAAGAAGAATTTTCTTACTTTGTTTCTTAGAGGTAGGAGACAAAATTTCCACGTTAAAGCTTTCCTCCCTATTCCAGAAGGTAAGTGACATCATCATCAAGGTTGGGAAGCTGAGTCCAAGAAAAATCTGTAAAGTAAACCTTCTTCAACTAACTCTTATCTTCCCAATCACTTCTCTTCTCCATTAACTACCTTAGCCAAAGCCCTTTTGCTTCTTGTACTTTGACAGTTTACTGCTTTTTGTCCAGTTTAGCGTATCAATGTTCAATTCTAACTGCATGTTTAGGTCTTCATTTCCTCCTGAGAGCTCCAATGCCACCTAAAACTTGTATCACCTAAACGTCCTCTTCTCTTGATCTGTTTTATGTTAGCTGAACACCCTTGAGAGAATAGAGCAGAAAAATTTGCCTTCCTCACACCTTGATGTTTCAAACCTTTCTTTTTCTCTAAACATGAGATGGATGACACTCACATGTTCAGGTTTGCTCCCTTGTAATTCCTGGGTCTTAAGTTGTAAATACACCTCTATATAACTTAAAAGACACAGTGGAATGTGAGTGATATGGCACAAATCGTAGAGATGATCCTGAATCCTCTCTAGTTTGTATTTTTAAGTAGATCACTCCTGAACTCCAAGTCCTTGCTGTTAGTGGCAAATACTTAAATAAGGTTGCAGTTGATTTTCATACTGGACGTTCCACTTGTTGGTAGTCTTGCGGAATGCTGGTAAAGGGAGTAACGTAAAGGAAATTTTGCTTCATGCTATTGCTTCCTCTGCCTTGTTGGATGAAATGGATTCAAGAACATTATTTACATTTTATTGGCATCTCAAGAACCCTAGTAATCAAGGAATTAACTCATTTGTGCAATCAAAAATTACCATATTCTATGTTCCAGAAACTATTCGCTTTTCTTATCATAGCATCGACTAGTAAATGTTTCTACAAGAGCACAGAAAAAAGCATTTGTCGTTTTGCAAATACGTAGTTGGCTTAGCCAAATCAGTTATTACTCTCTATAAAACAAAATCACATAAATTTTGACCATTTTAATAGGGCATTATGTAAAAGGGAGTAAACATATAATCTATGAAAGTGTTATGGGAAATGCAGTGTAGCACACATTTAACCCAATGATATAAATGAAAAGGACTTAGACATTTCATTATTATTGAACCCAATAGTAATATTAGTTATTGTGGTTGACAGCAGCAATGGTTTTCAGATTCTAGCACAATGCCAATCCCTTTTTAAGAAAACTCTGTCATTAATTCTATAAAACATTTCTGTGTAGTAGACATTATCATCTTTATTTTACAACAGAAAAATAGAAAGCTGGAAAGATTAAATAAAACAACTTGATTGAATTTACAGAAGTATATGGGCAGAAGTCGTTGCCATAGATAACTTTCTACACTAATAAAGTCTAATTTAAAATAAAAAATACATTTATGTTTTTTATGCATGTTTTCAATCAAATTCTGTAAACATTGCTTTGTCAAATGTGATATAAATATAAGCAGTAATATGCCAATAAATATTTAAAAACTAGTCCTCAAAAAAGAGCATGTATTATTTATCTTAAGTCATAGTGACATTGAATCTGTAGCACATAATTTACATAGAAAGATAAAATATATAACATTCTTTATTATAAATGACCAGTTGATTCTCTTAGAATGCTTTTGCTGAATTTTACTGAAATATTTTATCTGTAGCCCGGCTTTGGTTTCAAACATCCTATGATATGCATCATCAATGCTGATTAATGTTTTCAGACTTCAAACCACCAATATAACATGATATAACATAGAGCTGGGAAGATATTTTTGGAGTTCACATTATATACATATATACAATTATTATTATATACATATATACAATAATGTCAAGAGCATAACTAATAGTAAAATGTGGCAAAATAATCAAAACCTGATGAGTTCTTTTGGTTGATTGTCTTTGATAAAATTTATTTCATTGTAGGTTTATGTAACTTAATTTTTTAATATTAACTATTTAAAAATGAGCTCCTAAGATTCATAACAATTTGACAGTTGGGTCTCTTGAGCTGTTAGAATTGCCGGTAAGAAAGAGTTTTCAGTTAATCAAATGTCTCCTCCTCCAACTCCTAGCTCTGAGGATGTAAATAGAGGACATCTCATTTCAAGCAAAATCGATGTCCAAATAGATGATACTGGGCAGAGTCATTCCTTTGCAATTTATTGTTACTTTTTGTGGTTTATTCACAGGCATTTCCCTGCATCTCAACAGGCATTTATGGTAAGTGATCTAGCTTTTTATGATGTTTGTATTTATTTTGTTGTTAAATGGGGTTGGCAGGGGAGGTTAACCGGAAAAATTAAAGGTTCCTTGATGAATGTATTTTTTTGTGTGTGACTTAAAGAGACTCAAAATCCAGGTCAAATCTTGTTAAGGAAGCTCAAGAAGCTATTCAAATTCTGTGTTCTTGAATTTCATTGCATTGGATACCACCCAAAATGATTTGATTGATGCATTGTGGGTTGAAGTCTTTTGTTAAGAAATTTGTAGAAGCAGGATTGTTCTCTAATATTGTTTTCTTTAGTAAAGTCATGTTTTCTCTCAGAAAAAGCATAATGCACATAAAGCCTAACATTATCCTTATTTTATTGCAAATTACAATGTAGTAGAGACATTAAAAATGCATACATGTGCATATGTATCTCCAATTTTTAAAAAAAAAATTCTAAGGGACTCAATAAAAGCAAAGAATTTTAATAAGCTGCAAATATTTTTCCTGCTACTGATGGATTGTTTTAAGTAGTTACTGTTTCATTTACAAATGGAAGCAAAATATATTTTAACCACTTGTTTTCACTAGTATAAAGCTCTCTGAATATCCATCTACAATGATTTTTAAAATTTTTTATATCATTAACAGTATATTTTATAATATTAAAGTAACATGGAGTGTGTTTACTATTTGAGGGCTTTCTGACACAAGTGAAGTAGATTACACTTTCCATGGAAGCTCTTAACTGAAAAATAAAGTACCTCAAAAAAATCTAAAAATTGTTTAAATTCATTACTGTGGCAGAGAGGTAGAGAACCTAGGTAGATATCAAAGATTGGACCTTTTTTTTCCTGGTATTTCTTTTCAAAGTATCTATAATTATAAAGCAAAATGTAGACCTGAATCAGGGTAAGTGGGGAAGGATTTGGTCACACTGTTGAAAACTTTAGGGTATGCCTCCTTCCTTTTACATTCCACTGGGGTCTTTCTCTGTGGAAGCAAAATGGGCAATGATTGGAGAGAAGTAAACCAGGCCTGTTGCACAATTTTCCTCATTGTGGCCATTCTTTCTGTCTCGCAAATTCCTAGTTATAAATCTGAAATATTTGCTTAAAGGAAATTTGCTTACAGGAAGAATTATATACAAAGCTGCACTTGGTAAATAGTCCAAATCTATATTTAATCTTCTCTAAAATCAAGCTAAATTCCTTTGCCAGAAATAGTTCTCATTTTGAGAATATTCTTGCATTGCGATCTTGATATTCCTTGATGAAAACAAGCACACAAAACTCCAACTGCCTAAACTAATACTGTGCATATAGTTTTCTTGTATATTTCATTGTCAAATTGTTGACCTGTGTTTTGCTTCTGAGAATCTTATGGTACTTTGCAAGCAGCTTCAAAAGGGGAATTTATCTAACATGACTTAATAAAAACAGGGGGAGTAGCAGGAAAGTAAAACAAAAGTAAAAGAAAATGAAGAATGACCGTAGAATTATTGGATTGCTTGGGACTGACACTGTGGCACAGCAGGTAAAACTATGCCTGCAGTGCTGGCATGCCATAAGCATGCCGGTTCAAGTTTTGGCTGCTCCACTTCAGATCCAGCTCTCTGCTATGGCCTGAGAAAGCAGTAAAAGGCAGCCCAAGTCCTTGGTCCCCTAGAGCCACATGGCAGACACAGAAGAAGCTCCTGGCTTCGGATTGGCCCAGCTCCAGCGGTTGCAGCCATTAGGGCAGTGAACCAGTAGATAGAAAACTCTCTCCCTGCCTGTGCCTCTCTGTAACTCTGCCTTTCAAGTAAATAAATAAATCTTAAAAAAAAAAAAAAGAATTAGAGGACCCCAAGTGGAGAGAAAGAGCTATATCAAATCTAAAGTGAATCATAATCAATTCTAACCCCTGAAGGATAAACATTTCTTCCTACATTTGATATTGCTCAAAGGGCATATAATAATAGCTCAGTACCCACTGTGGTGAGGGAGGGAGAAATATTAAACACTGTTGATAGAGCATAAAAAGAGTGAACAACCATAGCCAGCTGACAGCATACAGTTCTGAAGTCCTGACTACTCATCTCTTATTCCTCTATGATTGAGTAAATTTAAAAGCAAGAGTGAAAGCTCACAGAGTTCAAGTGCCATGTTGCCTTTGGTTAACCCACTGGAGCTTAAGGCCAAGGTATATTTTTAACTCCATGATTTCTTAGTTTAGAAGCTTTTGCGTGAGTTTATGGTCCATTCAGCATTATACAACATGAAAATTATTTTGCACATCCCTTGTGAAGTTAAAACCTTCTGATTTGTCCTTGGTTATTTCTCAAGACCCCGATCTTTTAGACCACTTCTTTTCTTGCTCTTATTCAAAGTCCCACTGCTTATTCTTCATTAACCAGATCAAATTTCCTTTTATTTTTATTTATTAGGATTTTATACAATATTTATTTATTTTTTAAAGATTTTATTTATTTGAGAAGTAGAGTTACAGACAGAAAGAGGGAGAGACATAGAGAAAGATCTTCCATCCTCTGACTCACTCCCCAAATGGCCACGACGGCTGGATCTGGGCTGATCCGAAGCCAGGAGCCAGAAGCTTCTCCCCAGTCTCCTACACAAATGCAGGGGCCCAAGCATTTGAGCCATCTACTACTGCTTTCCCAGGCTGTAGGTAGAGAGCTGGAATGGAAAAGGAGCAACCAGGACACAAACTGGTGCCCATATGTGATGCTGTCGCCACAGGTGGAGGCTTAGCCTATTATGCCGCAGTGTCTGCCCTCTTTATACCATATTAAAGACAATGGTCCAGAGAAAAAACAGGAACATTTCAGAAAGCAAGAAATCAGAACTCTCAATATTGCATTAGAATGGATTTAGGGCAAAAAAAGTTTTTGGAATACCTTCTTGGTTGCACTCTACTCTTCTTGTTTTTAATGACAAATTTGCTAAATTTTTTTTCCTGAAATACCACTTGGTACATGTTTCCCATCTGCTCAGGAGATTTTGATCATACTCCATTACTTGCAGGTTAATGTACAAGCTTCTTAGCCTGAACAGTGGATATGTTACGTATCTCCCTAAGCTAGTGCTTCCAAAACGTGTGCAGAGGAGAAGGGTGGGAATCTCTCCTAAAGCATGTAAATGAATCGGTATGCTAAGAAATGTAGATATACATTAACACACACTCACACAGACACACACACAAGCCTTTGCATCTTTAAAGGGGGTTTGCTGTGCAGCCTTTACCAAAGTTATTTGAGCATAGACATTATGGTGCTTTCAACCTTTCTCTATCTGACTTAGTGTTTTCCCCAGAATATAGTTTTAGTCATTTTTTGGCACCTACCTGTCTCTTGTGACCCATGCACGATCTGATTTGATAAATCTCAGAATATGTAAGTTACATAATAACTTCCATCCTAGAGCCTTTCCTAAAATGAACTCCCTTATACCACACGCTGTGCACCCCCAGATTAATACACCCCCAAACTAAAACCACCACTTCTGTTCACCCCACACTCTAAACAAAAGCACACCATACATAATTAAACAGGAAATCTCCCATGAGTGTGCCAACATTTGAAGGTTGTTTTACTTCCTGAAATCCTTCAGCACTTGTATCTGCTCAATCATCAATGGCTCCCCATTATTGCTTCTACTTTTTCTTATATTTGGCGCTCACAGACAGTGTGGAATTCTTTAAAGAGCAGGGTTTGCACACTGAGTGCCCAGCCAAGAACTGTGTCTATAGGAGAAGCTTAGCAAATATTTTCTGTTGATGAAAAAACAATGATTGTAACCCAAATAGTGACCTAAATGCAGTCATAGAAAAGAGAATTGTAGAAGGCTACCAACATGTAGCAAAAAGCTACCCAGTTAGCATTTTCTCAATGTGCAAACATTTGCATTTGAAGAAACACAAATGTGTTTCTTAAAAACATTCTCAAACTGGAAATGGCGTTTGTGGGCATGGCGTTGCCTACCCTGACCAAGGTAAAGTGGAAACTGGAGAACTGAGTTGGAGCACTCATGTGAAGAGCCTCTTCCTTTGTGATGTATTATGGTCCATAGATCAGTGGCCATCCAGGAACATACAGGTCATGTAGCTGGCCGTGAAGCCTTATGTGGCTTTTCCCAGCATGCCCTAGATCCATCTCTCCAGCAGCTGTAACTTTTCAGGCACCTGCTTGCTTTGAATTTACCTTCACGTTATTTATGGTCCACAAATCCAGGGTAACCCTAGTTCTGCCAAAACAAAAGTTTAAGTGTAACGGAATCTTCATTTGAAAGGGTTTGCTTTCTCACCAGGAAGATCTCCTTCCAGGGTAACGTGAACAGCGGACAGTCCCATTTCATGGAAACTCAGGCATCAGTACCACATTAAGTGTGCTGGAAGACTTGGCACACTCCAGTACTTTGGGGATCCTCAGGCTCACATCTGAGGCCGAGAGCCCCCCCAGCCTTTCTCCCACTCCTCAGTCTTCTGGGGGCAAACCCTACAAAACAGAAAAATAAATAGAACCTTGCCATGAGGTACAGACTGAAGATCATCCACCAGGTGACTCAACCCAATTTAAGGTAGAAACTCCAAGGGAGCAGGCTGTGCCTCCTTTGAAGTACCTTGGAAGAAGAACCAGACTTTCCATTTCGACTTGGAGCAGCCCCATGACTGCTCCAAGTGTAGTGTTTCCAGGATGGTTCCACAGGGCGCAGCCCGCCTGCTTACACTCAGGATGAAAAGCCACATTTGGTAAAACACCAAAGAAAGGCCTGTATTCCTTTTGGAAAAATAGATCCAGATGACGCTTACGGGGGCCTTAAACCTACGGATTCCTGTTAAAAATCAGAATTGGCCTCTAAACCAGTCTCTGAGGGACAGATCTGAACTTCCCTGATGGACATAGCAGACCTCATGTGTGCCTCCTGGCCTGTGAGCCTGGTTTGGACACTCTGGTGCTAATAAGTTTAACAAAGGAGGCTAGACATGATACATGGCAATGGAATTTTTACCG